CATGGTTTCATGATAGGTACATTTAAAAGTGATCAGGGACATCATTAGTCATTAGGAAAACAGAAATCAAAACCACAGAAAAGAAACTTCATATTTACTTGCTTGGCTAAATTAAAACAGACGCACAGTAAGTGTTGACAAGGGTGTGGAAAAATTGGAACCCTCATATGGCACTGATGGGAATGTAAACTGGTATTGCTGCTTGGGAAATCAGTTCAGTCCCTCGAAACTGCACACCTAAAATTACCACATGACTGAGCATTTCTACTCTAAGGTCTATAGCTAAAAGAACTGAAAACATAGGTTCACAGAAAAACTTGAACAAGGATGTCCATGCAGCCTTATTTATAACAGCCAAAGAGTGGGAAAAACCCAAATGTGCTTATATCCACATAGTGCTATATTATGTGGTCATAAAAATAGGGTGAAATTCTGATATATCCTTCAATACGGATGAACCTTGAAAATATTATGCTAAGTGCAAACGACAGGGACAAAAAAACTGTATGTTATATAATCCATTTATATGAAATGACCAGAATGGAGAAACCCACAGAGATCGACAGCACATTTGCAGGTGTCTAAGGCTGAGTGGAAGCAGCAGCAGGGGAGAGGAAAGGAGAATGGAGAGTGAGGACTTGCTAATGAGTTAGAAGTTTCTTTCTAGGGTGATGAACATGCTGTGGAAGCACACAGTGGTGATGGGTGTACAATTTTGTGAATTTACCCAAAACTACTAAAGTGTGACCCAGTCCCAGTGGCATTGGTGGTAGGGCACTGCCGTGTGATACTGGAGCTACATGAGAGGTCTGAGTTCAGATTCTGGGTTGATCTAAACACGCCCACCATGGTGGCATGCACCTGTGAGCCTAGCTGGGTAGGAAGTTAGGGGTGGATCATGGTGTGGCAAGACATTGTCAAGGTCACTCATTCATCCATCTGTTTCTGTCTTTCATAAAAGAAATAAAAACAAAAAAAAACCCACTAAAGTATACACCTATAAAAAATAAACTTTATGGTCTGTTAATTAAGTCTACATAAAATTATTATTAAAAGAAAAAAACAGGGATACTATTCAGCAATAAAAACGAATGACCTATCAACATCTGCCATGACACAGATAAATCTTAACAGCACGTGAAAGACAAAAAGAGATCAGAGGACAGGAGCAAGAGCTGGCTGCAACTAGGCATCAAGGAACTTCCTGTGCAGAAAATGTTCTAAAACTGGATTACCATGATGGTCGTACAACTATAAATTTACTACACATTATTGAATGAAACATCAGCGATAGCTGAATTTTATGGTATGTAAATTATGCCTAAGAAAAGCTGTAAAACAATAGGAGCATTTCTATGCTGCTGGCAGAAGTGCTAAGTGGCACTCTGGGCAACTTGGGGCAGTATGTGCCCCGGCGCGGACATATGTGCCCTCTGGGATGCAGCTAGTTGCCACTTGGGTACATGCCACATAAAGATGTCTCTGTATATTTGTTAAAAGCCATGTCCAAGAATTTTCATAATTATTAAAACTTAGAAGTAATGCACAAATTCATGTACACTGAAATGGATAAATAAATTCAGGTAGAGCCACACAATGGAGTTCAGCAATACGAGGAAACAATCTCCAGCTACATGCAATAGAGATGACTTTCCAAGCCATTGTAGAACAAAAGCAGCAACACACGCAAGGGGACAAATGAGATGATTCCTTTATATACAATTTACAGACAGGCAAAGCTAATTTCCGGTACTGGTTACCCTTGGGAATAGACAGGGATTAGAAAGGAAAAAAGTGGGTACTTTTGGGATGCTGGGGATGTTGGTTTCTTTTTTTCTTTCATTCTTATTTATTTATCTTTTTAAGTTTTAAGGGTTTGTTTATTTGCTTATTTCTCCACTGAGAGAGAGGCACCCACAATAAGCTTTTCACATCCCCATTCTCATTTTAGCTGGTGTGGACCACAGGCATGTAGCTCACCTGGACCTTGTGTGTAGAGGGAGGTCTCGGGACGCAATCTCAGGACCTTTCTCATAAGGGTGTGCTACTGCTTGGCTTGATGTTAATTTCTTCATCTGGGTGCTTATTATTTAGGTGTGTTCTGTTTGTGAAAATGTATCAAGTAGTGCATGTATCAGATATGTACATTTCTGTATGTGTGTAACACTCCAATACTGTGATAAAAACATAAACAGGACTACATCTCTCTCTCTCACTTGAGAAATACCAAAAAACATTTTAATATTCTAATACTTTAATTTATTTATTTTTTTTTTAGAGAGATTTTTACTATACGGTGTGTGCATTCACCAGACAGACAGTGAGAGACAGAGAGAAAGAAAGCGAGAAATCAATCCCTTGGGGAGATGGCCATGCTATAATCCCTTTTCCTCCATTTCCCTCTTGGGATTTTGGGCACACATGCACACATACCTGGTGTGAGTTTTTAAGGTGTCCGGTCTGGGACTCAAACCATGGTTGACTATGTGGGAGTCTAGCAACATAACCATTATGCCATCTGCTGGTCCCAATATTCAAACATCTTAAGAGTCAGCAATGGGGCCAGCCAGTGAGGTGGTGGTTAAAGCTACTGGATCCCACATGGTTGACTGTGTGGTTTCAGTCCCTGACCTGATAACTTGGAAAACATATGCTGGGTGTGTGTATGTGCATGTTCAAAAGCCCCAAAGGAAAATGGAAGCCATAGGATTGTGGTGTGACCATGACCCATGGGGAGTATTTTCTCACTTCCTTCTCTCTCTTTCTCTGTCTTTCTGTGGTGAATGCATGTGCCTTATGTCTGATTTTTAAGAATTAAGTAAATTCTAAAAAAGAATCAGAAATAGAAATGAAGATAATTGCAATAAACCTTGTAGAATGAAGAACTGATTCCCCATATTCAGAACCAGTCCATGGTTTTGGTTAAATTCAGAGAAAGTCTATTCAGTGGAAGATTTTGTCCACTTTGACAATTTAATGCAACGGAATCCATTAACTTCCCTAACTTTCTTTCCTGTGTAAAAGCCATGCATCCTCTCTGCACAGCTGAAATACTGTATGCTCAGCCCATTTTTCAGGAAAGAGCTTTGTAACTGTCATAATCTCAGCAATTCTGAGCCATCAGATCTTGCACTCACTTGAGATATAAATTCCTCACCCCCCGACATATCTTCCACATATATCTCTCTCAGAGTAGTCAATCCCTGAGTCTTGCTTTTCCCAAGCAATTCTCTTAGGAGAAAGCCTTTGAGTTCCGGTGTTTTATTTTCAGCTAGGTTAAAAAAATATTAGCCCAAATGTGGTTTCCTATGCCAGCTCAACCTAAGATACTTCACAGGTTTGTAAAGGCTTGTACAGCTTCCTAATTCTCCCATTGTTCCCAGTGAGTGATGCACTTGGCAAAGTGTCAGCCCCAAATTACTTGAATCTCAAACATTCTCAAGGGAATCTGGCCAGACTAGTTTCTCCTCAGTATCCTCAAACAAAATCACACAGACAGGAAGGAAATGATCGCATACTTTTAAAGCTCCCTTCCCTTTTCTTTTAGCTCCTTTTCAGATACACAAGCCTGAAAAACAGACTAATTCTTACCGTCAAAGTACATGTCAAGGCAGTTACTTATGAAATATAATCACATTGCCGGTTACTACACTTACATGCCAATAACCTGGTCTCTCTTCTTGGAGTGGGGGCACTCTGGAAACACAGTTTCCCCCATAATTCGCCACATTAAAAACACCACAGTCTACTTCTAGCTCTTCTCCTACTGAATAAACTTACCATTTTGAACAAGGAGAGCTGTGGGCTGAGAAATAGCCATCTCTTGACATCAAAAAGAAAATTCCTTCTTTTCCTTTCCTCCCTGCAAAGGACTAGGGCTTTGATCAGCCCATTCCTCTCAGTTTTCTGAGCTTTATACTCCAATGAGGACCAACCCTCAAGAAGGGGTAAAGGCCGAATCAGACTTTCTAATTATCGAGGAGAGACATTGATGCTCATTTCACATGACAAAGTAAAATGGAAAAAATTAAGATGCTTAAAAATGATAAGCTTATGTTTATGAGGCATGGGATTTAAGCTGTTAAATAGTAGTTGTAAAAACGTAGTGGTGGGCCAACCCTGCTGTACAGTGGTCAAGTGCTCTGCGTTGGGACCCGGATCCTACATGGATGACCACAGTTGAGTTCCCAGCCCCGGTGGCTTGAAAAACATGCTGGGTGCGTGTGCATGTGTACCTCAAATCCTGTTGAGATGGGGACACAGAGGATAAAAGACTGTGCGCCGTGCCCCATTGGCAGGTGCTTTCTCTTGCTCTCTCTGATTAGTGCATGTATCTTTTGGCCAAAAAAAAAAAAAGTAATTTCTGGTAGGGGTGGGAGGTTGGCATTGTGTGGGTATTAGTAAAAATGCTATGCATTGGGGTTTGGGGTACAAGTCAAAGCTTCTGATGTTTGAGCTTCAAAATATACTCCTGATCTTGGGAGTGGTGGTGAAGGAGCTAGACATTCCCACATGGCTGACCATGGTTTGAGTTCCGGACCTGGTGGCTTGCTTTCTCATTTTCCTTCTCTCTGTGTGTCTACCGTTCCCTGATTAAAGTAAAATGTATGAATGAGTGAATGAATATATAAAATTAAATAAATAATTCTTAAAAAAAAAAAAGAAATACACTCCTGATATTAAGAATGAAACAGTTAAAAATTAAGGCACTTTTCAAAACCCTTTCTTTAGACATTACTACTTAGTTTTGAAGTCACAAGGTAAATGCAGAGAATGACTGATCTATGACTAGTCAAAAGGACCATTTTTAACATATCTATTTGGCTGAAGTTATTCCCACAATTGCTTCTGGTTATCATCCAGGAAAGTTTCTTTTAGCGGAGAAACATATGCTCTTAACACCAAGTCCCAGTTTTTGGCTGGCTTTGAGCTCCTTTTAATTTAAAGTTATTTATGATAAGGAACCATCCCCTGGGCAAAGGCACTTAATCCAAATATACCTTTAGAGGCTTCTGTTCCTAGTGGGTTTTCTAAGAAGTCCGTCATGTCGTGATTCCAGGCATCACGGACGGCAGACTTGGAGACCACCCTGTCATTCAGGACTTGCTGTGGTCGAAAGTTATTTCTCAAATACTCCACTGACTTGACGTGGTCTTGCTGCTCTGTGGTGAAGATGGAATAAAAAGCCTCGAGCTGAACAGAGAATGAGCGAAGAGGGAGAAAAATAAAAAAAACACATCCGTTAGAAAGGCAACATGGTCCAAAGAACGGGAGTGATAAGAACAGTAGATGAGAGTAAGTGTGGTGCCAGGCTGGTAAACCCAGCAACTTCTGTCCTGCCAACGAACCAGGGAAACCCTTGGTCTGAGGGCTGGACAGAACTCTGCGCTTGTGTCTCAGTTAAGAGCCTTTTCTGCAGTGTCGTCCTGGCAAGACTGTTAGGCTTGCAAGGAGGAGCACAGGCTTTACATGAAGCCAATAGGTTCCGGTGAGTGCCAGTTGCCTCACGCACACACTCCATGACCCCAAGAGCAAGCTACCTACTTTCTCCGAGCCTCCATTCTTAATACCAGAGTGACTATCATAGCAGTATTTACCCAATAGAATTTTCGTCAACAATTACATATTCACAAAGCATTTAATCCATGGAGAGTGCTCAAAACAGGTCTTGGTACATAATAAGAGGATGATAAATATCAATGATTTAATTCTTATTAACAAGCATATTCCAATCTACCAAGGATCGAGTTTAGTAAAGTCACCAAATTGTTAATTCATGGTTTGCAAGTTAAGTTGCCAACGTTTACCAGATGGGTGATCATGGACAAACTATATAAACTTTCTGCAACTCAAGTTTCCTTATCTATAAATCGTACATAGTGGTACCTATCTTATAAGGTTGTAGAAAGGAGTAAAATCGATGTGAGTTACATAGCACACAGTAAGTCCTCAATAAAAATGAACCACTACTAAAATAATTGTAAAGTTTATTTATTTCGAGAGAGAGGGAGGGAGAGATACAGACAGACAGAGAGACAGGCAGAGAAACAGGCTTCTCCAGTAGGGAGAATAGCCATGGTCTACTCCCAGCCTCAGCAGGCCTGGATCACAGGCATGCATGTAGCCAGTGAGCTCAGGGAAGTCTCAGGCTGTGAACTCAGGGCCTTTTCTCTGTTAGTCCAGTTGTGTTACTGCTGTTCCACCACCTGGTCCCTATTATTATTTTAGAGAGAGATTTTTGCTATAGGGTGCGTGTGCTTGCTGGAGAGACAGAGAAGGACAGAGCAACAGAAAGCAAGAAATCACCTTCCCCCCCAAGGTGGGATGGGTGCACCGAAACCCCTTCTCCTCCATTCTTCTCTCATGATTTTGGGCATGTGTGCACACATGCCCAGCGTGAGTTTCAAGCCACTAGGTCTGGGAGTTGAACCATGGTTGACTACGTGGGAGTCCGGCAATGTAACCATGACACCATCTGCTGGTCCCCTATTGTTATTATCAAGAAACATTTTCCACAAAACTACTGACCAGGGGCGAGCAGGTGGCGCGGTGGTTAAGGGCATTGGACTTCCAGATGGCTGACTATGCTTTGAGTTCCAGAACTGGTGGCTTGCTTTCTCACTTCCCATCTCTTTCTCTCTCTCTCACTCTGTCCCTATCTGGTCTAATTTAAATAAATAAATAAATAAATAATTTTTTTTTAAAAAAGGGTCATTCTAGGACCAGCCCTGTGGCATGGCAGTTAAGGGAGTCAGATCCTACATGGCTGACCTAGGTTTGCATCCCAGCCCTGGCAGCTTGAAAATAAAACATGCCAAGTATGTGTGCATACATGTCCAGAATCCCAACAGGAAGAAGAAATGGAGAAGGGATTGCAGTGTGAACACACCCCACTGAGGAATGCTTTTTCTCTCTCTCCCCTCTCCCTCTCTCTGGCAAGTGCATGTGCCCTCTGACAACAAGGGGTCATTCTATTATATACGAGGGATGGATCAGCGACTGAGTGACAAAGACTTGTCTTAAATGGATCACAAAGTTATTCTCTGTAATGAAACAAGAATGATCTGAAATGCCCAGCCACCAAAACTACTAAAAAGTCCTTAAGACAAAAGAAGAAAATGGAATAAAGAAGACGAAAAATTGAACTTTTTCTGGCCCATCTGGTTCCACCAAACCCAAGTAAGAATGCTTTCTGTAGGAGGGCATGACAGGGAGGGGTGGTGTGGACAGACGCTGTGAATGGCTGCCCTCAGCTTCAGATGACTGGAAGACAGCTAATCTTCATGTGTGAAATAAAAAAAGAATTAATACTTGAGTCTCTGCAAATTTCTAGTGGTCATCTTGAAGCCTGGAGCTAACTCTGCTGTTTGAAACTCTGCTGTCTGCTTTCAAACAGTCTGAAACTTTCTCTCTTTGCATGAGAAAGTGATGATTACACAGTGGTTTTAGCCAAGAAAAATCATTTAAGTATATGGATTCACCTATCATTCCACCTCCCCTCCAGTTCTGCTTATGTAAAGTGATAATGAACCATAAACCTTCTCTGCCTTTTCATCAAGGTGCAGGAAACAGGATGGTCTCTCAAGCAGTCTGAAGGGAAAATTAGGCCATCCTTCCCAAGTTACACTCTGTGAGACACTTCATAGCTCTTCCGGTAACAACTCATACAGTCTCTCTCTAGGATTTGTCTTCTTTCCTTCTTTCTGCTATTCCTTCTTTATTTATAATGAAGAGAATAAAGCAATAAGTGAAAAAAAAATGAAGAAAACAAGTGTTCACTCTGTCCAGATGTGGCCTACTCAGATGAAAGACAACTGAAGATGTTGAAAAATCACTTTAACTTAGAGATGTGGACTCACTTGATAAGACTACTAGATTCAGGTCTGGATACATCCAAAAATGAGAACAGGTTTCTGATTTTCTCAGAGAAAGTAACTTCTTAAAAATAAATGAAAGGAATTAACAAAGACCTTCTGGAGACAGTCCAGGGAAAAGACCAACCAAAATGATGAAAAGGATAGAGGATAAATCCTATGAGGAAAGGTTAAAGGAAGTGGAATTGTTTAGCCTGAAGAAAAGATGCGTAAGGAATAATTTGATTAAAGGCCCTGTATGTGAAAGATGCTGACCATCTCTTCTCCATGTGTAGAGAAGGCCAAATGAAAGGAAATTGGCCTAAATTAAAGCCTTAGAGACGTGAGTTGAATAGAGGAAAGAAGTTCTTAATTTACACAGGGATTTTTTTAAGAGAGATTTTTGCTATAGGGCGCCTGTGCTCGCTGGACAGAGAGACAGAAAGTGAGAAATCATCCCCCGGGGGGATGGCTATGCCTCAAGCTCTTCTCCTCAATACTCTTCTTGGGATTTGGGGCATGCATGCACAAGCACCCAGCATGAATTTAAGCCACTGGGTTCAGAATGAGAACTTTGGTCAACTATATGGGAGTCTAGTGATGTACCAATTATGCCATCTGCTGGTCCCCACAGTGATTTTTTTTTTTTATTTATATAAAATAGACTGGGTTGTCACATATAGAAAGCTAGGCCAGAAATTTTCTGGAAGAGATAGCTATATGTCCTGATAGTTTAATCTCTGATATTTCAGAAAAGGATGGCCTGGGAGATGCTCTTAGGATTAAACTCTAAGATTTGTTTATTTTTCTAGAATACTTTTTTTTTCATAGCTAGTATTTAATTCTCTTAAAAAGTTTATTTCTGATGCCTCAGGAAAGAATCAGTCATGTAACTGTAAAAAGAGGCAGGTTCTGAATTTAACGCAAAAATGCTTTTGCTCAAATTGCTCTTACAGTTTAATGACATGCTATGGCTTAAAAGCTCAGCCGCTTCCTTGTCATCAACTCAACTTGCCCAAAGATTTTGAAGGAGAGATGAGATGGTTCTGAGAGTGAACTGATGACCTGAATGATATTATATTGTCAACTAGATCATAGCTTTGCTTGACAGTCACACAAAAGAGGAAAAGGAGGACAAGCCTGGCAGACTCATCAAATGTCCTTCGGTAGGTTGGCAGCATTCATGAAAACCCTGTCATTCCTCTAAGTTGAATGAAAATTGGCAGTGGTCTGTCTCTTTGATAACTGGCATGCTTGACCACTGAGTGGAAACCTTCATGGTCCTTGGATCGGTGAGGGGAGTCTACATTTTTCTTTCTGGCAGCTGAGCAGTGATCATCTGGACCAGGACCTACTGATACATCATTACACAGCTACTGCAGGCTGCCCTTTGGTCTTCACCCCCACCTTGGCCTTGTCTTTGATTCCAAGGGATGCTATAAGATCACAGGGGGAAGATACAGCCTAGATTTGTACAATATGGTAGCCCTGTGTAACAGTAGAGTCGCAGAACAAACTATACAAAGTTGTGTTCTCTGGGCCTCTGATCTATCCACATATTTGGTGCTTTATCTGTTCAACCCTCTAAGCTGTCTGGCTAAAAACTACACAGTGATCATTTGAAAACGTACCTGAGATTATGCTACATTTTTGTTGAATACCTTTGTCTTATTATTATTATTTTTTTAAGAGAGGTTTTTGCTATAGGGTGCCTGTGCTCACCAGAGAGACAGAAAGTGAGAAATCACTCCTGAGTGAGGATGGCCACACCACAATTCTTTCTCCTCTCATCTTCTCTTGGGATTTTGGGTACACATGCACATGTGCCCTGCTTGAGTTTTAGGCCACTGAGTCCAGGACTCAAACTGCAGTCAACTACGTGGGAGTTAGCAACATAACCATTACACTATCTGCTGGTTCCTGTTCAATATATTTTAACAGCCTCATGTTCCTAATGTTGGGGTCTTAAGAATCTGGCTTGTGCTTAATTTTTCACCCATAAAACTTTTGCTGCCTGGGTTAAAAAATCCCATTTTCAAGCTCTACTTTAAATGTGTAATAATGTTCAAATTATTTAATCTTTTGGGTGCTTCAATGTCTTTATTTATACACTAGAAATGAAAACAATACCTATAGCATGTTGTTTTTTGTAACTTTTCAATGAGTATATGAGGGGACTTTAGAAAATTTAAGAAAAATGGAAGTAAAGTAAGAGTTCATTTTGGTGTGAAAAAACTGAAATCCATACATAGTTTCTTTATTACATGATATATATTTTCCATTAAATTTGGAAGATTCTGCCTGAAATGTTTGGCTAAACTGCTAGTACACAATAGGTGC